ACTATAGCGTAATTTTGGTGAATTACGGTGTAATTTTTATGAACTATGGTGTAATTAGAGTGTAATTTTTATGAACTACGGTGTAGTTTTTGTGAATTACAGTGTAATTTTTATGAATTATATAGTAATTTTTATGAACGACGGTGTAATTTCGCTGAATTACTAGGTGATTTGGGTGAATTACACTGTAGTTTTTGCGAATTACATGGTAATTTTGGTGGATTACTGTGTAATCTTAGGTAATTACTTGGTAATCTTGATGAATTACATTGTAATTTTGCAAGATTACTGAATTTTTGTGGGAATTATATATTGGAATCGAGTGGAATGTAGAGAAAGGGGTACTGAAATCATATGATTTGAGGCGGTTTAGTTTCGAAAATTAGAAAACTCTGTAAGATTTAACGGTCATAGTTGCGTAGATGAAGTAATTATCGGCAAATGTTCTATCGGATATGCTGGTATCCTATGAAAAACGGTCGAATCGGAGTGTTTTCCGATGTTTGACTGCGACCGGATTGGGTCATTTTCGATCGTTTCCTACAACTGGATCCGACAGGAATCGATCGGATCTTTTCCGACGTAATCCGAGTCGGAATCCGTTTGTTAGGATTCTGGTGTAATCCGGACCGGATCCGATCGGATTTTTCTGGGTTTCCTGCTAATTCCTGATGCGTTCCGACGTCGTATCCGATAGTTTTCGATCGGATCCGCCGGTCGGAATGAATCACCTGGGTAACACTTCATCTATTGGAAATTAATGAACCTATTAAAAAATATTATAATGATACATTATCTACATTACAATATATATTTATGATAGTATGTGTTGTTAATACGATATCAATAATATGGATTTTTAAAAAACCATTTCGATTATTTGTTTTATCAAATATATTTCTTATTATAAGTTTATCAATACATGGAGAATTTTTTATTTCAAATACGCCTAATATCTATTATACATTAATCAATGGTATATTATTATTTTTATTTTCTATGTTTTTATTATTAAAAATATTAATGACATTATTATTTATTGTTCATTATTGAATGATACAAAATATTCTAAATAACGAATAATTATTCATTTTTTTTCTTATAGAAAGTTATTTGTTAATATGTTAGAAGAATTGTTAAATCAATTCAATTGTAAAAAAACTAGCCTTTCTTTCTTTCTTTATCTTGATTGAATTTTTTTTATTAGACTTGTGTCAAAAATTTCATGAATTTGTTAAGAATAAAACTTGGAATGTAATTCGATTGGTTGAGATGACTAATTCATTATTAAAAAGAAATTAGAAGTTTTTCTTTATTATAAAAAGAATATTTTTTTGTTTATTTGTAAAACACTCCCATCAAAAGATCGAAATGATGAACATCTTTAGCATATTAAATCGACTATAGTATTGAAATGAAAATTTTAACAATACAGTATTTTTGGGTGGGTGTGGTTGTGTGGTGAATATAATATTCATAGTCTCAGTCATACCCACACTCACACTCTCAAGAATAAAAAAGAATTCTAGTGGCGTACTCACTTTTTGAGTACAATAAAAAAGGCACGAGTTTCTTTGTATTTATTGAAAGAAAAAAGAAAGAAGTCTAGGTTTCAGGAGAATTTTCGGTTACTGATTAAATGTATGTTTTTTTGTTTTCTTGGTCAATATAAGTTTGAATAAGAATGGAGCCACGACTTGACAAATATGATGGTCGTGGAGCATTTGCCATTTTTATATGAACATCTACACTCGGTAATACACTGTTTGACAGCGATGATACTAACGTCGTCGTTGATAATCCGAATTCGGATGGTGTCCGTGAAATGTACAGAAATGATTCTTCGCGAGAAAAGCTTCGTGTCACTGACCATGAATTGTCTCTGATATACTGTCGTCGATAATCTTGCACGGGTATATCCAACATTTCTATGCTGTTTTGGGTTGAATCACGAACGTACTGACTCCGGTATTGTTGATGTGAATCCTCTTCACGATTCCAAAATCTTCGTTCAGGTGTTTTACTGGTGAAATAAAAGGATTTTCGTGACAAACGTCAAGGCAGATATCTTTATTTACATACCCGAAATATAATGGACAACATCTCAAGCAAAGACAGAAAGCCAAGGTACCAAGAAGCAGTAATAATGGAATGCCAAGACCTAATCCAAGTGGCAGTCCTAGGCTGGACATCGATCGATCATTGGACACGGTTGTAACTATTGAGGTTGTGTTTGTAGAAGCGGTTCTATTTCAGTACACACATCGAATATTCAATATACAAATCTATCAATGGGAACTTACGTAATACTCGTTGTTGAAGTAGTACTGCTTGTTGATCTAGATATCCAATATGTATTATTCTTTTCTTAAATAACAAGAATATAAACAAACATACACGGATGTCGTCGATGTTGACGTTGTTGAAATGCTAAAGAGAATAATTATAATAAACATTCTAACAAGCGCTTGCTCATATGTCCCCATCAGATATGGGTGGATAAAGTACTCTGTGAGATTACCGTTTTCCATAATGATTTTCGGCTTATGTATAATAAAGTGTTCATAAAAAAAATATTTTAACCAAAAACATTTCTGACGAAAGCTACTCATCCCTGAAAGTTTCAGGTCAAACAGTAGGAAAAACTTAAACTTCATATTACGTGGCAAGTAAAACCAGTTAATCACTTAACTTCCTTAAATCGAATAAAAAAGAAATAATCAACTGCTGATACTCAATTGTAGCGAGTACTGATGCATATCTTATGTTCATTACCTAGTAGTGGATGTTGTAGTACTTGTTGTTTGTCTGAAAACAAAATATCAATCTACTAAACATAGAATGAATGATCTTAAGACACTCACGTTGTAGTAGTAGTGATGCAGGTCTCCCCAGGACAAGCACAAGCAGAAGTTTCTGATACATAGAATTTGAAACAATACTGGGCAGATTGGGCGTTTTGACTAAAAATAATCAAATTTTAAGAGATTTGTCGATCTATGATTGACAGTTGGTTACCTGTCTAAAGCCATAGCACACATCACTTGAAAGCCGATTTGATCAGTGGTCGGTATCCATGAAAGAGTCTTGTAGTAGATTGTTGTATTTAATTGAGCAATGTTTCCTTGGATCATTCCACTAAATGAGAGTGTTGCAATATCGACAATCGTCACACTTAATCCACAGTTATTGACTGCAATAAGTTCTGAATTGAATGTTTGACCGACACTCAGTGGAATACACGCTTGTTCAAGTGGTATTCCAATAATTTCAGGTGGAATGGTGCATCCTGGCGGACTAACGACTTGAACAAGAAACTGAACAGGTACCGAACTTAGAGGATCGATACTGGATGAATTGATAAAGTCTTCGACCTATAAATGAAAACAATTTAATTATAGCGAAGATAAGAAACGACATGTCAAACCATTAGAGTAATAGCGAACCAATCTCCAATAGTCTGATCTATGATTATGATAGTACAGTTAGGATAGATCATGGTATTAGCTGGTAATGAGCCAGGTGGACAAACACCTCCACATTCATTAACTCCATTCAAGGATGTCGACCATCGACAACGAGTAATGTCTCCATCAGCATCGGCCACAGGTATATAAATAGCTGTTGATTGATTATAAGGAATATTGATGGGAGACATGAGAGAAGCAGTAGGAGCATTGTTATAGAGACTATTGTCAGGTCTTATTGTTAGCTGGATACGTGATGAAACAGACCAAGCTGCACTAGCACTTGATGCTAAAGGTCGCCAGGCAGTGTCCTGATAGGCAACGGAAAAATCGCTACCTGCTTCTATAGAGACAGTGTCAGAACGTTGTCCAACAGTGATTCCAAGCGAAGGCGAGATATTTGTGCATCGAGGTCTGATGTTAGGAGCCACGTAACCAATTGCGCCACTAGTACAATTAGCGATACAATTGAGTGTGGCCGTCAGAAGTAATGGATATGAACTAGTAGGAATCAATTGATTACTACTAATCATAGCATTAGTACATGTTATCAGAGAATATGACCACGAATAAGTTTGTGTGATGACAACAGCAACAGGCGTTCCTGTAGCTGATTGATTCAAGAGACGCCATGTAATTGTTCCACCAAGAAAATGACTCCCATGGACAATCCATGCCAAACAATTCAGCAAGATGAGAACAAATATGCAACTCATTTTCAGCAACGCCATCATGAAATTTATTATAATAAAAAAGAAATGCAATTGTTCGTTCGTCAGATGTATACTAGGTGCATCTCTTTGCGTTAATTCATTTACATAAAAAGAAAAGAAGCCTGATTATGTTTTTATTACACGAGATGAATCGAACTTTTTCCAAATTTATGTTCTTATTCATAAAAAATTCATTCTTTGACAATTATCAACATTTTTTTTCTCCATGTAAAACAAGAGTTAACAAAAGATGCGAAAATGTCGAAATTGATGAACTAGAAGCCGTTCTTTTGTTCTTCATTGTTTTGGAAAAGTATTTATTGATATATACAATGTGCATTTTGATGCATTCATAACACAGAATGAAGGAAATTTAATTGATTTTTTTGAACTCAATACGAATCCATATATATATTATATTTCATTTCGCTTTTTCTAGATGTTCGATTGTTTGTATATAATCAATAACTTCCAAGGTATCCATAATCTACTAATTTCTATGCGCCATCATATACAAGAATGAGAATAATATTGATTTTTTTTTTCGTTGGATGGAATAATCAAGCGCAAAGAGATTGCATATATTCTTTAACAAACATGATGATTGTTGAATAGAAAGTAGAAATGTGCTGTCCACATTTTCAATTGAATTAAAAATATCCATAATCTCACCATACACCCTCAAAAATATGTTTTATTCTTTAATTAAAAAAATCAAAATTCACGTCGAAAAAATGATTTTTAATCAAAGTTTTATCTATACTAAAAATAATTTTTATTTTAATCAATTTCGAATTTTTGTATTCGAAAATTCACTTGATCAGAAACATATAAATTACCTTCTTCATCGAATGACAAACCACTGGGAAACTTCAATTGATTTGACTTTTTTCCCCATCCATTTCCACCAACAATAATCCTTCCGTGTTTAGCTTCTTTAGACCAACACATCACTCGAAAATTGTCAGTGTCTGCAACATAGATTTGACCCAACTGATCGACAACTACCCCAGAAGGATTTGACAATTGTGACAGAGTGTCTCCTTGACCATTTCCACCAGCAACAACAATTCCTTCTTTTGCATCTTTTATCCATTTCATCACACGATGATTATAATAATCTGATATATAAACTGAATAATCTTCATCAACAAAGATATAAGTAGGATAACGGAGTTGATTAAGATGATCACCTTCTTCATTTCCACCTGCTACTATTGTTCCATTCTCATCTCCTATTTTCCATCGTGTGACTTGATTGTTTTTCATATCAGAAATATAAATATATTCCTTATTATCCATTGCTAAACCGTAACAATCAATATTAGAGATGATTATTTGTCCGCTTTTGTTATTTTCACGAGACGATCGCATCACTCGCCTGTTAGTGCCATCGCAGATAATCAGAGAATCATTTTCTTTATCAACAGTTACATCTGTTGGCCCATACAATTGATTAGTTTGATTTCCTTGTCCATTTCCACCGGCAACGACTTGACCATTCTTTGCGTGAGATTTCCATTCAACAATACGATCATTATGTAAATCAGCAATATAAATAGTTTGATTATTATCAACATAGATACCATAAGCGTAAAAGAGTTGATTTAAATTATTGCCTTCTTCATTTCCTCCAGCAACTGTAATTCCATTTTGTTTCCATTTTGTATTTAAAGTAATATTTTTAAAAGAATTTAATTTTTCTAAAATAGAAGAAAAAAATTTAAAATTAAATTATAATACACAGAATAATAAAAAGCTCATATATTCTTCCTAAGTATGTATACTGACCTTTCATTATGCCAGTTAGATTTTTGTGGGGATGATCAATTTGTTGATTTATATTTATGAATACTACATCATCGGTATCTTGCTTCCAGTTTGTGGACGTTTGTTCCATTGCATTTTCTACTATGGAAATTTTATTTTGTACATTTCTTATTTTATTTTCTACCTAAATTAATTTTATCATATTAATAGACTTTAGAACTTGTTGATACTCACGATATTGCTCAGATTCAATAGAGTATTCTCAATTCGATCGATCCGATCCAATAACCATACTTTTGATTTGCTAGCATTCTCATCAGATTTACAGCGAAGTGGTAAAATATGCACATTCGGTCGCATTCGAACAAGTACAGTATTCGAAAAGAGTTTTGTATTTTTACTAAATTTTCCTATTTTGACGAGATAACCATTAATAGAACGAGGTTTGATAATGTCACCTTCGAGATATGTGTTATCAAAGAATTCACGAAGAAAGATGACTACATCATGACGACTCAAAATATACTGTTGTTTATCGCTAATATTAGTTTGATTATCGAAATTGTCTGATTGTATGTTTGTTTTATTTTGGGAACCATCACTTAATTTAAACTTATCGTGATGTGTAAGATGATCGACGTTCATCATATCTTTTGCAACTTGACGGTCGTAAATAAAGCGTTCACTGTTGCCACTCTCTTTTCGAACGATGGAGTTAAGAATTTTAGCGAGATGATCGGGTCGCGTCTGCTCCACTGTCCAATAAAGATCTTTCCATAAGGTGTCATTAATCATTTCTAATCGAACCTGAAATTATTAAAACAAAAGATACGTCATAGTTTAATCGTGGATTCGTAAAGATTGTATTAGAAAGGTTTCGAAATAAAATCTGATTGAAAACAAGAGTAAGTATTCTATTTAAGTATTACGTACCCGTTGAGTAGATAACTGCCGTTCAAGATGCTCATCAAACACCATTGGATTTTGTAGGCCTGCAAATCCTTCTTGCATATGTAGTGTCATAATAATATGATCTGTGGATTCACTAAGGAGTTTCTTGAAATCATTTTCTGTAAGAATCACCGTTTCTGCTGACGGAAATTGAGTGCGAATCTGATTGCATATATTTGTACGTGCTATATATTCCGTGTTTACTTCTAATTCTTGTTTCACTATCTGTTGACCATAGAGTGAATAATGAACTTCAAAATTTGGTAATCGACACTTTTCTGTCAGGGCTTTGCGTAATTGTTCACATACAGTCATATTCGATACATAAATAACGAACTCTATTTCTTGGAGATGAAGAGTAGCCGGTTGCCAACTCTCGTCAAGTGTATATTTATGATGAGTACTATTTGAGTGTGAACCTCTTTGAACAAGTCGAATAGAATTTATCGGTAACAGAGAAACATCGCACACGAACAAAGATGTTGTATTTCCACACAACGACGATTGATACTTAAAGAGATAATCGTTGACGGTTTGAATGAGTTGTGGTGTATAAAGTTCAACTTGAAGTCCAAGTTCGATACGATCATTAAACACATTTTCATGACATTGTGTTTCTTCAGGCTGAAGATATGGAAATGGAGTGAAGAAGAATTCAGTATGTTTCTCTTGATTTTGAGCGATCATAATTTCACCATCTCGATACTTGACTCGGCCAATGTTTTTTATGTTTATTTTCGCTGGAAAAATGCCACTGTTGTTTGGCAATTTAGATTCTAATTGTTCAGCGACAATTGTTTTACATGTAAAAAATAAGAATATCCACCAGATATACATTCTGAAAAATATACTATATATATAATGTTTTAATACGTGAAAGAATATAAGAAAAAAATCGTTCTGTTCCTTAATGTCTTTTTGCAATAGCTCGGGTTTCTTTATCTATAATGATTACACAAGATGAAAAAAAGCAATTATCTACTGCATTTCATCCTTGTCTATGTGTTTGGAGTTATACGTTTCACATTAAACTATGTTTTTCTTTCTTCGTATTATATATTTAAATGTAATTTGAACTTTTGCCTTTTAACAATCAATTTTGACGAAATTAAATGTCAGTGCAGTTTCATTTAAATCTATGTTCTACTCAAAAGAAATCATTACAAGACAGGATTAAAAAATAACATTTTCTCTGTATTAATTAAGCATGGTTATTGCCTATGATCATTATCAAGAGTAATAAAAAGAAGAAATAGGAGTATTATACCTTGGATGTATGATTTAAATACTAGATGAATAAAAAAGATAAATTCAGTTATTGAAATCTCGTATTTCAATTGGTAGTGCAAATAGTCACTTATCTTTTGTGTAAATTAAAAAGATAAAGCGTCAATAATCGTTTTTCTTGTTCATCGTATATTAATAATAACTCGGGTTTCCATCACTTCTCAAGCAAAGAAGATTTTATAAAAATACATATATACTATAGGAAAGTCTAGTTTGAATGTAAATAACAATTGAAAATAAACTATATTCATTGAGAAGCTCAAGTATGATAACAATGTGATTGAAATATATTCAAATTCTATTTAAGAATATCATTTATATCAGATGAAAAAGTAACAATATATTTAGTTTGTTGTAAAAATAGGTGTTCAAATAATTATTTACCTTTCTACCGTTGATTTTTCATCAAATAATCTAATATTATTTTTCCATGTATTCTGTAGGAGTCTTTACAACTTGTCAGTTCTAATGGAAACCATTCAACAGTTTATTAACTCTTGAGCGCTATCCTCATTTTTCTCATGGTAATTTTTCATGCGTATTTACGCTTATATAAGCCATTATGGAACTCAATGCAAGGCGCTTATATTAATTAACAGGAGTAGTTCAAACAGATTATAATAGAACTTACATATCAATACAAATTAGTAAATATAAGTGCATGTATGAATACAGATAGTCAATCATATTAAAGACAAGATATTTATTTTGAATTTTTATTATAAATGGATAAAATATCTTGAGGATGGGTGTGGGTGTCAGACTATGGTTAATGTAATGCCCACACCCACCCTCAAGATAGTGTATGATGGTGATAATATTCACACCGACACCCAAACTAGCCATTAAATCAAATATAAATAACAAGAATAAAGACAATGCAATTCTTGTAAGTGGATGAATTAAATCAACTATACAACATCATTGTATTTTCAAAGACTTCAGAATAAAAGAAAGAGAACGAAGATAAAAATGCCGCACTTTTTTCGTTTACCTTTAAGAAAATAGATAAATGATGAGAGTGAGTCTGTTATATTTTTTCTTCATCACATTTATACTATTTTCTCTAAGACAAGTTACTTGTGTTGATAACATTACTGTTTGATAAGAAAGGAAGTAGCACGTCCGCGATTATGTATACAAGCAAAGATTTATTTTTTTATATATACAGTTATATTTTTTTCTATGGTATATATATTAATGGACAACATGTTCAAACAATGCCACCACAAGATACATGTGTACCATCAAGTCTTAGTCTTCGTTGTCCAGCTGGTTCTGTAATTGTTGTTACAAGCGCTGAGTATGGTGTTGCACAAGTCGATGGTTCATGTAGCTATACGCCAGGTGATTGTATTGCTGATGCTATGAGTATAGTAAATTGTGTAAGTGATTCTGTTACATGTAGTATATATGCAACGAGAAAAAGACTATCAGAATGTAATGATCAATTTGGTAGTTATGTTCACATTGAATATGATTGTGTACCAATGTCAATGAATGATCCAGCAAAAGAATATAATGTATGCCAACAAAATAGTACAAAACTAACAAGTGATTTTGGAATATTAAAAAGTCCTGGTTATCAATCACAATTTCAACTTACACCATATGAATGTCTTCGTACTATACATGTGCCAGATGATAAAATAGTTCGTTTATGGTTATCTGATTTATATATTAGTTCAGCAGGTGTCAATTGTCCAAACGATCATGTATATGTTGTTGATAATGTTCAAACATTTCGGCATTGTGGTCTTCAACGATATGCTTATCCATATTTATGTTCATCGACTATTCTTATTCAATACAAGACTTCAACATTAAGTTCATTTTACCGTGGAATGCGAATGTATTTCGAAATAGTTGATCGATCGCCAAATGATAATTGTCCAAATGGAACAGTAACACCTTTGCCAGCAACAACACCAATTCCAACAGATGTAACAACAGCTATACCCATTTATGTTGTACTTGGTATTGCATCTCCAATCCGAAGTTTTCAAATTTGTAAAGGTAAATTATTTATTTAAACAAATATAGGAAAAAATAAAATAATTACAAATTCTTTTTCTTAGGCGAATCACATACACTTCAATGTCCAAATAATTATGTTGTAGCTATAAGAACAAATAAATATGGTGTTACTCCATCGGATCAATGTGAAGATCATGATGCATATAAACATTGTGCTGTTACAATAGATCCAACATTTATGTGTCGACAAAATTGTACATATTTATATACTGGTAATTATGTTATTCCATTATGCGGTAATAAAATTGCTGCTTATCAATATGTTGAATATCAATGTATACCATTAAATACTGAACTTGTTTCACCAAATACAACATGTCCAGCTGATGGTTTAAAAGCTTTAATACAAATCGATCGTCGAGGTCGTTTTCAAAGTTATAAATATGGTACTTCTATTTTAACAAAAATGAATTGCACATATCGATTAAAAACAAAACCTGGTGATATTATGCATATTTATGCACTTGATATTAGTTTAAATGATTATTCAAAAGACTGTAAAGAAAATAAAATAGCATTTGTTGAAGATGGTGAGACTGAAGGTGCAGACTTTTGCGAAGAACGGTCATATAGATTAATTTATTCAACTTGTTCAAATGAAATTGATTTACGTTATATTGTTACAAATGATGGTATGCGTTTCTCAGATGGTGCCGAACTATATATTGAAAGTCAAGCACGTCCATCAGATTGGTCTTGTGGTAAACCTTTACTAACATCATCCACTCCAATGACATCATCCGCCTCAACAACATCATCCAGTCCAATGACACCATCCACTCCAATACCTATTCAAACAACACATCATGCTCAAAATACATCGGCAGTTACGTATCCTATGACTCCAAGTAACAATTTAATTTTACTGTCTTTTATTTTCTTGTTTTAATGAACTTATTTTATTTAGCCTCGGATACATATCGAATTATTATAATCGTACTGTCAGCTGTTTTAGGTAGCATAGTCGTCATGGGTATCATCGGCGGCTTTGGCTACTATATTAAAGTGGTCAAACCAAAAAGAAAAATAATTGTAAGTAGTGGCGCCGTCAATGATATACCAATGACATGAGCAAATTCTACTTCTACAATATAATAATACCTTGCTACAACTGTGATTCTCTAAGCGAATATGCACATTCATTATTACTAGTGTTAATGTCTGCACCATTGTAGAAAATATTTTTTCACCTTTCAATAAAAAACCTGTGTGTATTTCAGCATTTTGGTTCAATAAATAACTACTCAACCGATAACTAAAAAGTTCATACATAAAATCAATCTTGGATGGATGAGGGTGGGGGTATGACTGTCTTATGTTCATACACAGTCACACCGAGATCCTATTTTTAATGGGTGTAGGGGCGAATGTGAACTTTAATTAATACCCACACCCACATCCTTTTTTATCTGCAGTACACATTGATACGTAGACTGTTTCTTCATCTCTCCAAAGAGGATAATAAAACCAAATCAGTTACAGAAGCATGTTTGCAATGTTTTCTTCGATTGCATACCTAACGACTTGCAACGAATGAAACAGTTTGAAGAAAAATTTCTATCTTATTTCTATCACAGTGATCACTAACGCATTGATCATCCAAATTTCATCGTAGGAAGAAAACGAGCAAGTAAAACATGGAGAAATTCACGTAGTTAATAATTATTTTTGCGATACACGTGGCAAATGTTATCGTTAATTTCATACAGAAAGAAAAAAGAACAAAAATGTATTAGGCAACTGTCTCACATCAATGAAACATGTACATCTAATCAGATACAGTCAATACTTTCAATAAAAACTGTATTTTCCAAATATATCAAGAGGTTTTATTTATGCTTAAAAATTTTCATGTAAGCTTTTAAATATACGGGTATGGATGTGAGTATTACATTAACCTTACTCTGACACTCACACCCTCAAAATGGTTTCTATAAATGCTATGGAAACCATTCATTCTTATAATATGACTCAAAATCAACAAAAAAATAACATAAACTCTAGGAGAAAAAAAGAAAAATTATTTGTTTAAAGAAAAGATGACGATCGATAATGCAAAGCAAATATAATGTTATTTTCATGACGAGTTTCAGCTCATTCTTGTTGTTTTAGTTGCCATCAAACTCGTAACAGGAATGAAGACAAGTAAATTCTACCGAGCTTGCCGTAGTGGAGACATAAAGACTGTGGAAGAACTTCTTTCAACATTATCATTAGACGAGATCAATCAGTTTGAGCCAAACGGTAGCACGGCGCTTCATTGTGCTTCGTGCTATGGTCATGCTGAAATTGTCAAGCAACTTCTTGATAAAGGAGCATCTCGTTCGCTAAAAAATAAATACGGTAAGACTGCGGCTGATGAGGCAGCTACTATGCAAATTAAGGTGCTCTTCAATCGTCCATTTCATGAAGCAACCGCACGTTATGTTACCGAAACACAAGATGTTGAATGGAATATAGTTGACGAAGAAATCTCGAGCACGGTATGGCACACAAGGAAGATACTAAACAAACATTATTGGGATGTGGACACTGCATTTCAAGAGCTTAGTAAAGCTGAAGAGTTACAGTATGCAAAAGGAAAAGAACAAATACAGTATCATCTGGAGAAGCTTCGTGAGACACAAGATGCAATCTGGCTTCTTCGACTTTACACAGCAGAAACGGACTTTTATCGTATACTTAACTATCTTAGTGCAGATACATGGGAAACATATTCAGAGGCCACATTATCAAAATGGTACGTCATGTTTGCTAATACACTTCGCAATAGTGACTCGATCAGAAAGTTTTTATGGAAGGGCAAATGTTACCGAGGAATGTACATTAAGAAAGAAGATCTGTGTCAGTATAAAGAAGGTTATTGCATTATGAACAAATCGTTTCTTTCTACGTCAAAAAATCGTGAAGTTGCTCAAAGATTTCTCTCCCATACACCACCCGACAAAATAGGTGTCATGTGTATTTATGAAAGCTTAAATTGGGAAGCGTTTTTTGATATTCAATCAATTTCTCAGTTTCCGCAAGAAGAAGAAGTTTTAATCTTTCCAAATACTGGCTTTGATGTGAAGCGCATAACGTATGATGAACCTGTAGAAATCGAACTAGAACTTGGTGGCTAAACTATATATAAGAAACATTTTATATTTACATGTAAAAGACAACGTGATTGTAGGTATGCAAGATTTCAGAACTGTTGGAAATCGTTGATATGCATGAGTAGTATAGATAAAGATGTGTCCTTGAAAGATTTTGATCTTTCGATTTTGGTATCAAACACAATAATAAACTAAAGCCCATTGATGTATTCCTTAAGCAAGGACAGAACCATCTTGAGGGTGTGGGTAAAAGAGGGATATAGTATTGATACCTGCACCCTTAAGATGATTTAACTTTTTAGATGCTCTAGCGTCGTCTGGACGTTTGTCGCTCTATGATATGATTAAATGTACTTTTATGAGAGTCACACTATCGTAATATAGTTTTTTCTTTTCTTAAGATGAATGATTTATGGTACGATGTATTCTTATGTAAACAGCAAATGATCGTGAAAGAGCGACAAAATAAATTACTGGTGTATGTGATTTCATAGGATGCGTTCATTTTGGATGATATCAGTCTTAAGATAAATATCTAGGATGTGAGTGTGTTGGCATTGCATTATTGTTAGACCCACACTCACACTCACCCTTTATTGAGATGTTCATGATATGGATATTAGAATAAACAATTGACGCATTTCTGCATCGTTCAAACAAAATACGAAAAGAGCTTTGTTAAACATTGTAATTGTTAGATAGTGACGTAGTCTTTCCTCTCTCATATACTTCGCGTTTAGAACCAATGGAAGGATCCATGTATGGATAGTTTGTCTTTGTTCATCGTTCCTATATAAACTCATGTATTACAATAAATCAGATTGACTGTGAGAGTCGTGAGAGTCTACGAATAGTACATTTTATTGGAGAAATATATCTCACAGTAATGAATTTTGTATTGAAGAATAAAACTGAATTGGGAAATGTTATGTATTCTCTTTAATGATATTTGATTGGATTATAATATGTATTCCATAGGTTCGCTCTTTATGAGTATGTTATTAAGTTGTTGATTCAGTTTTTATTCAAAAGAGTTTAGCACAACGTAAGACGTAAATCAACAATTCGTACTATAAAACAAGCACAATATTTTCATTAGCTTCTTTTAGTGTTTGGTAAGAGCTAGAAATGATGATCGCAATACATCCGTAGAATTATTACCAAGGACCAAGTAAATATCATTGCATTAACATGCCAGTATTGACATTTCATCATTTATTTCGACCTTTAAGCTTCATATGTAACTCTATACCTGTGGCATAAAACCGATAAGAAAAAAAAAGAAGACCTTTTCGTTACAATTTTATTTTAATTGTTTCATTCATATTACAAAAACGTAGTTTGGCATTAACATGCTTTCACTTTTCTTATGTCTATGTGTTCTGCTTAGCTCAACATCCTTTATTCAAGCCGAAGGAACGGAACCATTGAATTACTTCCAATGTGAAGTATTTAAACCTAAACGTATTGATGTTACTGTCGAAACAGGCTCTAAATTTCTCGCTGGCACTAATGATGGAATTCACCTTCTTCTTCGTGACTCTCAAGGTGTCGTGTGTACAGCTGACGATTTGAATAATGTTGGCGATGATCACGAGAGGAACTCTATAGATAAATATGCGGTCTGTTGTCCGCAAGATTTTGCCAAAACCAATGATTCATTAAGTTTGCTTCTAGTCGGTCACAAGCACGGTTATAGAGGTGGTGCAAATGATTGGTTTGTCGAGCGCATTGAAGTACATAAAGAAGACTCTCTACTTTTCACGTATCATTTTCATGCCTGGACTAATCCTCGAAAAATCTCGATCTTCGGTGTTTCGAAAGTGACAAGTTCACATTCAGACAATGGAAAACCGTCGTACTCTCGTATCCGTTTATAAAACACTTTTATTTCCTTGCCCAATATTAATTCTGCCTTTTTTTTCAAAAAAATAAACTGCTATAACTCTTCATAACTGAAGTTTTCAACAATTACTTCTAGTTTTTTAATGCGAAAGCAAAAAAAGACTAATTTCTTCAATATGTGGATGTCGTCGTACACTATTCCACCTATACCCTCAAGATAAACAACTACATTTTTATCATTGGCCTGCCGTATGAAATAAGAATAAAACCAATTGTACAACACATTTCTAATAATATATAATATCGCTATACTTTCGCTTCCAACTCATTACAAAATAATTAAAATATTTTTTTTATTCTTCAGGAAGCGTTGTACTTTCTCCATAAAAGCATGATTTTGGATGTATTCTCAACAAGAATAGCATTACATTTTGTTTGAAACACTTTGTTTTCACATCCTTCCTACAAACATTTCAATATCATGAACATTTTTTTCTCTTTACAGCAAATAATCCCTGACATTTCATATTAGTTTTGAAAAAGGAAACAGATTCATTGTTTTTATCTATTGATAATTTCACATGTTGTATTTGTTGCAAATATTTCAACCAAAAAAAAAAGTTCCCATAGACATCATCATGTAAGCGAATACAGAAAAAAAATAAAACTGATGTTCAGTTTTCAATAATATATCGAAGAGTTTTTTTATCATTCAAGTTAATTATTGAAGAATGTAACTAAAAAGAAACAACTTGTTTTTATTCAAAATTAATCATTAGAAATTAAATGAAGTTCTTCTCGTTTTTATTTATTTCGTAGTTTTATAATTATATTTATTCGAATCATTCACTATATTCAACATTTTTTAAATTGTTAAATGTCAAGAAATAGATTCTCAAATAATATTTTTCACTTTGTTTTTATGTATTTGTTTGATATAAAATAAAAATAATAATAAGTGAAGGATTCTGATACTTACTGTATACAAGCGTTTTTATGTAAAACATCATATATCAATGAAAACAACAAGATTAGTTTTTAATAAAATGTTATCTATTGTAAATGCCGAAATCTACGAGGTACTATGCGAAAGTAAACTAATTCCAACAATATAATTAATATGATTAT